GATAAAGGGAGAGAGAAGGAGGAGAAATGGGGGACAGAAAAATAAAAGAAAATGAGTTAAATAGAGTCAGATGGAGAGAAGAAGAAGAACTGTATTGGAAAGAGTACTGAGAGGGAGGGTGAGAGATGTGAGTTGCGATGGAGAGCTTGTGTGAGTCACATCGTCTCCTCCGCAAGCTATTAGTGATTTAATCACTCTGACATCACTGAGTGTCTGTGTGTGTGTGTGTGTGTGTGTGTGTGTATCATACCAGATTACCCTGAGCTAGTGCAGTCAGGAACTGGCTCATCACTCTTCCACAGCAGCGTGCATTCATCATGTCAGAGTTAAGTTTGTCAATCTATGGGCTGAGACACAAAGCAGGTCGCAGGTTCGCACTTGTGGGCCTTTACTCGACTGATGTAAGCCGTTACTGAGCTATTCCCTCTGTGAGACTGCTATTAGTACTTGGTTAAACAAAATAACCAATGTAATATGACAGAAGTTAACATAGTTTTGACAGCGGTAACATGCTGCATTTTAGACTGTGAAACTGAGATGAATAAATGCATAAAGAGTCATTCCACATTTTGAATAAAATGGGAACTGTTAGCAACTAAGCTAACGATGAATGAAACTAACTGATAGTTGGGCTGCAGTTAGCAAGCTTGTTAGCTAAAATACTATTAATATCAGTTAAATGCTCTATTTAAACTTGAATGAATGAATAAAAATGAATTAAAACATAGTTGCACTGGACTGAGAAGAGCACAAACGTGGGAAAAGGAGTGATCATTGTAAGCATACAGTCTTTAAGCAAGGTCCATGCTAAGGAGCTAGACAGGTTGAGAAAAGAAACTTCTCCTTGCTAACAAACAGCAAATGAATTATATAAATAAAAGTATAAATAGAAGTATATCAGTAAAACTCTTTATTGAATGAAATTATGCAAAGTCATGGGAACAAAAGGAGCAAGTTAGCATGTCCTGGCTGGCTAGGAGTAAGCTACAGTAGTTCATCAACCTGTCCAACCTGCAAGTATTTACTTCTTCACAAAAACTAATTCCGCCGTGCCACTTTCTGGTGTGACTAGGCCTTAAGGATAAATTATAGTATCATAACAAGATTGTGAAGGTTGCTGCCAAAATGCAACCCAACATTAATGACTTACTTGTTTAAGGTACTTCTCTGCTGTGCAATCTAGTGCAACACGGTGAGATTATTTCAGAACCAAAATATAGCTGTGGGAAAAGTATTGTGAATGAAAGACTATTGATTGAATACTGTTATTATCTTCATCGTTTTGCAGAAAAAATGTAGGATATTATCTTATTTATATCCAACCACCTACTATAAACCCCCTGTCTCTTCAAATTAAATTCCTAGAAACTGCAAGCACTTATCATCTGATTGCACCTGATTGCTACACCCACTGCATTCACCATCAATCAGGATATTTCTCCTATTTGTTGTAAAATCTGACCAGTGTTCCTCATGTATACTGGACAACAGTTTGGTAATCCCTGCCATGGGAGAGCACCAGACAGTCTGAGGCTGCATTATCATTTCACTTCACTTCATTAGATTAATACTGCCATCAGAGCAGTATCCAATCATGCACAAACAGAGGTCACTGCTCTAACTGAATTTGACAATGCCCTCTGACCAATCGGAGGGTAAATTGTCGGGCAATATGAGGCCATGCCTACGGTCTGTCAGCAAAGATGATCAAATCAAAAAGGGAAAAGAGAGATGGCAGACAGACTTAACTTTCTGCAGGACATAAATGGACAAAAGAAGAATAAAAGTTTGACAGCCCAGAACTAACAGTGGAAATAAGGGGAAAGGGGATGGGTAATTAAAACGCCATAGGGATTTTAATCTTATAAGCGACTCATTGACTCATTAGTCGAATTGATTAGTCGAGTGACTGAAGATTTGTTTGCATTATTTTGATGATTGATTACTTCTCAATAATGAGGATATTTTGCTTTTCTTTGCTTACTGTGATATTAACCAAAGATCTGTGAGTTTTGAACCACTGGACGGCCAAAACAAACAAGCAGAAGACGTCAGTATCCACTGACATTTCACTGACCAAACCATTAATTAATTGAGAAAATAAGTGCAGATAAATCAATAATGTATAATTACATAGTTAGAGTCCTAATCATTGCTGAGTAAATCAATGTTGAATTTATAACATAGAAATATTTTACTCTAAACATATCTACCTGAATTGATGTGGCCTGGATTCCAGTAGGTTTATTTGTTGTTGCTCAAATTGGATTGATAAAATGCAAACACCAAAAATTCCAACCATTT